GGGGTCCACTGTATATTGGTCTCACAGACCACAAATGTTACTAGAAAAAATAGAAAAGAAAAGAAAAAAAGTATGAAAAACGTAAAATAAAAAAATGCGATTTTGCGGAAGTCGCTGATGTTGCCGCCACCCAGTCATTTTGGGTCAACTTCCCGCCACTGTATTTCAGTAAGTATTGATCAGAAATGTTTTTTTTGTTTTATTACCTTCACAAAAATATTATCTTTAAATCTGTAAGATTTTTTTTTTTTTTTTTTCTTTTCTTAATTTCTTGGACACTCGGGCACCCCTTCAGATTTTGACCTTGGACCCTGAAAGGGTTAATGCCTAGTTCTATTGCTAAGTTAATATATGTCAGTATAAAACTTCTTGGGATCTTAATACTTGGGAATTCTTCGCTTGCCTAACCCTTGGGCATGACCTACTTCCACATTCGACAAATGTGACACCACCTACGACTGCTGCACCTCTCCTGCCATACGGTTTATAAGCTGCTTCTCCACTCCTATGCCGTATTCTATTCAAGATTGATGGACTGACCAAATCGGCTCAAGGCTGAGGGACTGATTACTTCATTCTCCTCCTGTTCTTCAAGTTTATCCTTTGTATGGACTGATGAAGCCACTGTGTGGCAAAACGTTTCCTCAATAAAGATACCCAAGAGTTGCACATGTGTCTAATTTAACAACATGTCGGTTCTTTGAACCATTCATCTACAATCATGTCAGTATAAAAACTGTTACCTAGCATTTATATGCATTTATAAGGGGGGGGGGAAGTGTGTTCCACTTTACAGCGATTTCTGCTTTATGGCGGTAGCCTGGGATTTAACCTGCTGTATAAGTGGGGCCCTACTGTACTCTGCAATCTTTTTTGCCCTTCCCTGATCTTCATGACTTTGCATTTGGCGGGGTTAAATTCAAGGAGCCAGTCCTGCCTGATCCTCATCTGATTTAATTCCCATCATTAACTTCACATCATCTGCAAACAAGGACCCTTCTTAGTCTGTCCCATTTGTCATGTCATTCACATATACTAATACAGTGAAACCTCAAATATCAAACTTAATCCATTCCAGGAGCTAGTTCTAAATTCGAAAAGTCTGAAAATTGGAGCAATATTTCCCATAAGAAATAATGGAAATACAATTAATCCGTTCCAGAAACCCAAAAATATTCAGAAAAAAATATGTTTTATAGAGATTAATTAGTTTTACATACAACGAATACTATAGTGTTCAATTATGTATATAAATATAAAATAACATTTTTACTTACCTTTACTGAAGATTGGTGATGGCATCTGGAAGATAGGGAGGAGGAGAGAGGGAGTTGGTGTTAGTGTTTGGAAGGAGAATCCCCTTCCATGAGGACTTCAGGTAAAGCCCTCTCTGGGGTTACTTCCCTTCTCTGTCTTTTAATGCCATTAGGACCAGCTTGAGAGTCACTGGACCCTTGTCTCACAAAATAACTGTCCACAGTCCTATGTTTCTGACGCCTCTTTAACATTTCCCTAAAATGGAACATGATTCTGTCACTGAACTGGTTCCAGGAGTTTTCTGTACCAGATTGGCATGCAACTTCCTTGCCGTTTCGCAAATAATCGTCTCTGAAACACTATCACCTGCAATCTCTTTATCCTTGATCCACACCAGCAACAACTTCTCAACCTCTTCAACTATTTGTGGTCTTTTTTTTGGTTAGCATATTAACACCTTTTGCAACATCAGCTTCCTTGATTTGTTCTTTCTTTGCCAGGATAGAACCGATGGTCGACTTGTTTTTCCCATACATCCTGGAAAGCTCAACAAGTCTCACACCACTCTCATACTTCTGTATTATTTCCTTCTTCACATCTATGGTGTTTCTCACTTTCTTTACCACAGGGATACCACTAGCAAGTTTCTTTGGGCCCATGGCAGCTTATTTCACAGTCCCACAAGCACTAAACACGTTGAAATAATTGTAAAATGTTTGAATGAGAGCACAGGTTAGTGTTCACTCAAGCATCAACAAAGCCAGACTGGCTTACAGCGCCTGCTCGAGGACATGGACAGAGTGGGCTGGCAGACAGATCCGGTACCCGGCGGTCTGAAAATAGGGGCACATTCGATAATAGGGACAAAGTTGGTTCGAAAAAAGGGTTCTATTTTTGAAACGTTCGATAATTGATATGTTCGAAATTTGAGGTTCCATTGTAACAGCTTTGGTCATAGGACTGACCCTTGTGGAACCCTACTTATCACAGGCACCTATTCTGAGACCTTGTCACATACCATGACTCGTTGTTGCCTCCCTGTCAGGTATTCTCTGATCCATTGCAGTGCCTTTCCTGTTATGCGTGCTTGATCCTCTAGCTTTTACACCTACTTCTTGTGAGGAACTGTGTCGAAGGCTTTCTTGCAGTCGAAGAAGATGCATTTTACCCACCCCCTCTCTCTCATGTCTTACTTTGTTACCATGTCATAAAACTCTAGTAGGTTATTGACACAGGATTTCTCTTCCCTGAAACCGTGCTGGTTGTCATTTATAAGCTTGCTCCTTTCTAGGTGCTCCATCACTTCCCTCCCGACAATTTTCTCCATGACTGCATACTATACACGTTAGTGACACTGGTTTCTAGTTTAATGCCTTGTATCTGTCTCCTTTCTTAACCCTTTGAGGGTCCGTCCCATAGTTCTATGGCTTTGAAGCTATAGAACTATGGGAATGAAGCCATAGAAATATGGTCCAAGCCGTAGTGCTGCGTCATGAGCTCAGCTAACTCGGGTAAGCTGTGAGTGGTAAATTTTTCCCTAGATATGAGAGAATGCATCTATGTGGTAAATATTCACCATATAAAGAAAATCCTTCAGCATGCAGTGCATAATGAGAAAAAACAAACTTCAATTTTTTGGTGTGAATAAAATTTCTTTATGTGAAGAAAAAATCAAAATGGAATTCATCTGTATAGTTAGGTAAGACACATATGCAACAGTTGCATATGTGTCTTACCTAACAACCTGTCGGTATTGTATACCATTTTGATGTTCATTTCATCTGTATAGCCTGAAAACATAACTAATAAACAGAGGAAATGTTATTTTAGTGCCAGGAATGCCAGCAGTGTTTATTCTGGACCCTATTTTGAAATTGGAACATTTTTTAACTCTGAAATTTTCCAAATTAACAAATTCTAATCACTTTATTGGGTAATTGGAATAGTTGATTGGGCAGTTTCTTGTGCTCAATCGATAAAATAGAAGTGATACTAACAATATAGCTAAGAATTTTGTGGGCCAGGAAAATATAATTGGCCAAAAATAGGAGTCAGAGTGGGCAAAATCACCAATACATAAATATTGCTGACACAGCAAAATTCATGATAGCATAATTTTGTCAGTTTTCCATCAAATTTTGTACTTTTTATTTTATTTATTACCTTCAGAAAAAGATTCTCTTGAGTTTCAGATCGGGGATCTGAACCTTGAAAGGGTTAAAAATTGAGACTACATTTGCCACCTTCCATACCTCATGTAGTTGCCCAGTTTCACTGGATGTGTTGAAGATTTTTGCTAGTGGCACACACAGCATCTCTGCTTCCTCTCTAAGGACCCACGGAGAGATGTCTGATCCCACTGCCTTTGAGGTATCAAGTTCACATATTAACTTCTTCACCTCCTCCTTGGTTGTGTGTATTTCATCCAGCACTTGTTGGCATATCCCTTGTTAGTGTACCCCTCCCCCCCCCCCTATTCTGACTTCCTGGAGTCCTTCCTGTCTCCACTGTGAATACTTTAAATCTAATGTTGAGCTCCTCACATACTTCTTTGTCGTTTCATGTGAACTCCCTACCTTCCTTCCTCAGCCTGATTACCTGGTCCTTGACTGTAGTTTTCTTCCTGATGTGGCTATATAACAGTTTCGGGTCAGACTTGGCTTTCAATGCTATGTCGTTTTCATGTTGTCGCTGGGCGAAACATGTTTGGCCAAACATGTTTCCAACATCTTTTCCAATACATCATTCCAAGTATCTACCTCCACAACCACGACCATCAAGGACATCACCAGTAGTAGACAGGACAAACCTCCATCCTCTGCAGGGGTATACATAATCCCTTGTAATGACTGCAACAGATTATATGTGGGCGAAACATCAAGAGACCTCCAAACACGTATTTCAGAACACCAATATGCAAGCAGGACTGACGGTACAAGGAATGCCTGTGTACAACATCGCAATTCACACAACCATTTAATTAACTACAGAAACTCAAGACTTATTGCCACAGAAGAAAACACTCAATACCGAAGAATCCTGGAATCATCGCTTATCTCTATAACCAACAATTTCAACCAGAACAACGGCTTCTATAACATAGCTGAACCACTCGCCAAGAAACTTCTTCATCGCTATCCCACATAAGAACATAGAACACTGCAGAAGGTCTTCTCACAACTTGTCCAATACCCCTGCCAAGCTACCCAAGACTCTATAGCTCCACCCGGTAGATCATCAGATGCAGCATTCTCCACCTGACCTCAACATTCTGAACATGACTATAAATACTCCCGTACCTTCCACCCCAGGTAGATCTGTGTGTGACTTGAAAAAGCCCACTGTGTGGGTGAAACGTTGTCAATAAAGGGTCACATTATGCTGCATATGTGTTTATATTTCCATTGGCTCTCCATGTTTTGGGACCCCCATGTGGCTATAGGTTTTCCCTGTCAGTCTCCTTGTAACTTCGCTCTGGTGTGTCCACCATTGCTCTGTTTCTGTCTTCATGTGTGTGTATGAGAGTGAGTGTGAGTGTGAGTGTGTGTGTGTGTGTGTGTGTGTGTGTGTGTGTGTGTGTGTGTGTGTGTGTGTGTGTGTGTGTGTGTGTGTGTGTGTGTGTGTGTGTGTGTTACAAGCTCTTATGCAATTGATGTTTACCCTAAATTTACAGTGAGTTAAGAAAGTGTATTGTACTGTACCTAATACTGTTTCATTAAGAACTTTTTATTGTTATTTTGTAGAATTAAGTGATATATTGAATGAGGCGGAAAGTGAAGCTCCTCCTGCACTGCCACCCAGAGCAGCGGGTGGTGGAGGGTCCTCCAGCCGGGGATCAACACCCACTCCAACAATGGCCATTCCTAGACCTCCCTCGCGCAAAGCCCTTGAGGTAATTTTTGTGTGTTCTGTATGTTTACAGGAGAAATTTTACTATTCATTACAATAGCATATGTGCAATTCAGCTATCCAATGCCAGACAAAATACTCACCCAATCTTCAAAAATTTAAACTTATTAATATACACAAAATGTACTCATACTTCTTGCTGATGATACTGTGCTTTTGGGAGATTCTAAAGAAAAGTTGCAAAAAGTTAGTGCATGAGTTTGGGAGGGTGTGTAAAGGTAGAAAGTTGAAAGTGAACATAGATAAGAGTACGGTGATGAGGGTATCAAACAATTTAGATAAAAAAAAAATTGGATATCACATTGGAGAGTGGGATTATGGAAGAAGTGAATGTTTTATGATATTTGGGAGTTGACGTGTCAGTGAATGGGTTTATGAAAGATGAGGTTAATCGTAGAATTGATGAAGGAAAGAAGACGATTCGTGCATTGAGGTATCTGTGGATACAAAAAAATAAATGTTATCCATGGAGGCAAAGAAGGGAATGTATGAAAGTATAGTGGTACCAACACTCTTATATGAGTGTGAAGCTTGGGTTGTAAATGCTGTGGCGAGGAGGCGGCTGGAGGCAGTGTTGTTATGTCTAAGAGCAGTGTGTCGTGTAAATATTATGCAGAGAATTCAGCGTGTGGAAATTAGGTGGAAGTGTGGAGTTACTAAAAGTACAGTAGGGCCCCGCTTTACGGTGTTTCACTTTATGGCGTTCCGCTAATTATGACCAAAACTCTCTCTACGGCTCCCCCCACCTGACTTTCTAATACAGTCACCGTGCCCCACCCGGTTTGTTTACATTCTCCGTGAGATCCATAAGCACTAAGTCTCCATTATGTCTGGAAACTCCAAAATTTCAATTGTTTTTAAAAGTTATTTCATATTTTATATATACAGTGGACCCCCGGTTAACGATATTTTTTCATTCCAGAAGTATGTTCAGGTGCCAGTACTGACCGAATTTGTTCCCATAAGGAATATTGTGAAGTAGATTAGTCCATTTCAGACCCCCAAACATACACGTACAAACGCACTTACATAAATACACTTACATAATTGGTCGCATTGGGAGGTGATCGTTAAGTGGGGGTCCACTGTACTCTGATAATTATACTTATGCATACCTGTACCTAAATAAACTTACACACTGTGCTGGCATGCAGGTACATGTTAAAATCAGTAAGAGTGTTTTATGTCTCGATACACCATATTAGTAATGATGTACAGTGGACCCCCGCATAGCGATTTTAATCCGTGCAAGAGGGCTCATTGTTATGCGAAATGATCGGTATGCGAATGAATTTTCCCCATAAGAAATAATGGAAATCAAATTAATCCGTGCAAGACACCCAAAAGTATGAAAAAAAATTTTTTACCACATGAAATATACATTTTCCTACACACAAAGAGAAGGATACATGCACAATAGTAGAGTAGTACATGCACAATATATATTGTGCATGTACTACTCTACTAAATGAAGAATAAATGACACTTACCTTTATTGAAGATGCAGCAATGACTGATGAGACAGTGTGTCCTGGGAGTGCCTTTTCCTCCTGAGTACTGTAGGTCCTGTTTGGCATTTTCTTCCAGAACAGGCCTTATCACACTGTGTATGCCACTACGATTCTTAAATCTCTCAAACCAACCTTTGCTGGCTTTAAATTCACCAATATGAGCACTAGTTCCAGGCATTTTTCCCTGTTCACCTGGGTATTAGTCGACTGGTGTGGGTTGCATCCTGGGAGACAAGATTAAGGACCCCAATGGAAATAAGTTAGACAGTCTTCGATGACACTGACTTTTTTGGGTTATCCTGGGTGGCAAATCCTCTGGGGTTAATTGTTTCTTGGTATTCTCAATAAGCCACACCAACAATGGTGCTACAGCAGCAGCAGCTGACAGTGATACAGCAGCAGCAGACGATGCTACAGCAGCAGCAGACGGTACTACAGCAGCAGCAGACGGTACTACAGCAGCAGCAGCAGCTGACAGTGCTACAACAGCAGCAGCAGCTGACAGTGCTACAGCAGCAGCAGACGATGCTACAGCAGCAGCAGACGGTACTACAGCAGCAGCAGACGGTACAACAGCAGCAGCAGCTGACAGTGCTACAGCAGCAGCAGACAATGCTACAGCAGCAGCAGACGGTACTACAGCAGCAGCAGACGGTACTACAGCAGCAGCAGCAGCAGCTGACGGTGGTACAACAGCAGCAGCAGCTGACAGTGCTACAGCAGCAGCAGACGATGCTACAGCAGCAGCAGACGGTACTACAGCAGCAGCAGCAGCTGACGGTGGTACAGCAGCAGCAGCAGCTGATGGTGCTACAGCAGCAGCAGCAGCTGACAGTGCAGCAGCAGCAGCAGCTGACGGTGGTACAGCAGCAGCAGCAGCTGTACCACCAATAGTAGCGATGGTTGATTGGGGTTTATTATACAACCTGGCCAGCTCGGAGACACGCACTCCACTTTCATACTTATCAATTATCTTTTTCTTCATCTCTATAGTAATTCTCACCCTTATTGCTGTAGGGTTGGCACTAGAAGCTTTCTTGGGGCCCATGGTCACTTATTTTGCAGATAAAATCACCAGAAACACTGTAATAATACGAAATGTTCCGATTGTATGCTTGGATGTTACCGCGGAGGCTGGCTGGTAAACAATGCCACCAGCGGCACATGTGAGGCTGGCTAAGGGCGCACATTGGACGCGTCTCGGACGAACAGCGGTGAGCGGGTTTTTGAGCGGTATGCGAGGCAAAATTTTTGCGATAAAAGCGAGCGGTATGCGGATTAAACGTTATGTGATGCCAACGGTATGCGGGGGTCCACTGTAATAATAATAATAATAAATAATAATAATAGTAATAATAATAATAATAATTGCCGTCTCATTAAATGTCATATATTACATTAATATACATATTTTCATTAATCCATCTATGATATTTTTTCAAAATTATATAATAAACATGATATATAACATATAAAGATGATAAATACACTCCACAGTAGAATAAATAAACATAAATACAAGATGTGAGAGCCCGACTTCTACGAGTGACACCATATTAGTATTAATACTAATAATATATGAATCTCATTAAATATCATATATTATGTTAATATACACATTTTCATTAATCCGTCTATGATATTTTTTTAAAAATTATACAATGAGCATGATACATAACATATAAAGATGATAAATACTCCCCACAGTATAATAAAAAAACATAAATACGAGATGTGGTAGCCAGACTTCTATGAGTGACGGCAAGAATAACATTTTCTCTAGTCCAACATCAGAGAAATTGTGTTACTTGGGGTACTGTAGAAAATTATTCCTTTCGTATGTAAGTAAGTTTATTCAGGTATACACAAATACAGTTACATAGATTATCATACATAGCAGCATATGTGTAAAGTACCTAGGATAACCCAAAAAAGTCAGAGTGACTTATTTCCATTGCCTTCACTCAGAGCGTCATTTCTTCTAAAAATGGTGTTACATGAGAATGGGAGTTATTCTTTATTTATTCTACCGTATCAATGTAGAGACAACTTGTACACAATGTAATTTGTACACAAACCAAACATGTATGCCTGGCTTGTTTACAAAACTTGTGTTGGCCTGGTTTGTTTACATAACTCTGTGCCTGTCCTCCATCATGTACTCGTTCTCTCTCTCTCTCTCTCTCTCTCTCTCTCTCATTTATTTGTTTTATCTCGTTTACTCACCCCTGATCCTACATTAAGACTACAAATATTTTAAGGTAAGTAATGAATGAACTGTATATGCATTTTATCACTCTGGGATGCTTAAATATCATAGAATAGTATGTGTGGGTGGGTTGGCCTGGCTGGCTACCATACATACCGCACTTGATTTCTTACAATAAATACTACTCATCTCACCCTAGATTAAGACTACAAATATTTTAAGGTAAGTAATGAGTGAACTGTATATGCATTTTATCACTTTGGGATGCTTGAATGTAATAGAATATTATGTGTAGATGGGGTGGCCTGGTATAGTAGCCCGGCTGACTACCATGCATACAACACTTAATTTCTTACAATAAATACTACTTGTCTCACCCTAGATTAAGACTACAAATATTTTAAGGTAAGTAATGAGTGCACTATGCGTGTATTTTACTTTTTTATTGTTTTTAATGCCTAGTTCTATTGCTAACTTAATATATGTTAGTGTAAACGTTATCTAGTATTTGTATGCATTTATAAGGGGGAAAAAGGGTGTTCCACTTTACGGCGATTTCCGCTTTACAGCGGTAGCCTGGAACCTAACCTACCGTATAAGTGGGGCCCTACTGTATTAGTCAGAGGGCTGAAGAGGGGTTGTTGAGGTGGTTTGCTCATTTAGAAAGAATGGAACAAAGTAGAATGACTTTGAGAGCGTATAAATCTATAGGGGAAGGAAGGCGGAGTAGGGGCCATCCTCGAAAAGGTTGGAGGGGAGGGGGTGTAAAGGAGATTTTGTGGGCAAGGGACTTGGACTTTCAGCAAGCATGCATGAGGGTGTTAGATAGGAGTGAATGGAGACGAATGATTGTTGGGACCTGACGAGCTGTTGGAGTGTGAGCAGGGTAATATTTTGTGAAGGGATTCAGGGAAACTGGTTAGCCGGACTTGAGTCCTAGATATGGGAAGTACAATGCCTGTACTTTAAGGGAGGGGTTTGGGATATTGGCATTTTGGAGGGACTTCTAAATTGCCATATCTGAGCGTATTATTAATAATAATTCAATTATAATATAATTTTCCTCTGCAAAGACAGTGATTATGTATGAGTGATGGTGAAAGTGTTGAATGATGATGAAAGTATTTTTCTTTCTTTTCGGGTTTTTTCTTTCTTTTTGAGTCACCCTGCCGTGGTGGGAAACAGCTGATATGTTAAAAAAAAAATGTAGTCCACACATTGTAAGCTGCAAGGAAATAAACATTTTCATTTTCATTTCCTAGAGCAACCCCTACCCCACCTTCCCTCCACTTCAGATTTATACTCCCTCCAAGTCATCCTATTTTGCTGCAGCCTCTCTAAATGTCCAAACCACCTCAACAGCCCCTCCTCGGTCCTCTGAATAATACTTTTAGTTACTCTGGACTTCCTAAACTCCAAGCTATGAATTTTCTGCATAATATTTGCATCACACTTTGCCCTCAGACATGACGTCTCCACTGCCTCCAAATTCCTCTGCTATAACATTCACAATCCCTTTTTGCCTCTATGGAGAATGTTCTTTGTCTCCTCAGATGCCTCTCTGCATCGCCCACCTTTTTCCCCCCTCACTAATTCTGTGGTTCACCTTATCGTTCATGGATCCATCTTCCAGCAGGTCTACTCCCAGATATCTATACACATTCACTTCTTCCACACTCCCTCGTTCCAACCTGATATCCAATCTTTTATTGCCTAAATTTTTTGTTACCTTGATCACCTTGCTGTTTCCTGTGTTCACTTTTAAGTTCCTTCTTTTACATACCCTGAGTCAGTGACAGCCATTTTTCTTACTTGACTCAGTGTAAGTGTACCACAGGGAAGTGTACTTAGCATTAGCCTCTTTCTCACTGGTATTAAATCAATGGTCTTACCTCACTTTTACCTTTTGGAATCAGTCTTCCCTCTATAAGCAGTTTCTCCATAGCTTGTTCTGGCAGTTAGATGGTGATTTCCTTTTCATATTGTGCTATTGACTATGCTTCCAGGTTGAACCCCCTTCACATGGTTTAAAGTTCTTTGTCTTCAAAATTAGTAATTCTTCATATGATGCCCTGTCATCCATCTTCCCCATTGTTCCAGTACTGTTCCTCTTTACAGCATTCCACTGTGTTAATGTCCTGAGTCTCTTCACTTGGTGTGTCTCATGGAAACATCACACAACCTCCCTAAATGCTGTGTATAAAGTATATTGAATTCACCCCAGATTTTCTCTCTTTCCTGAGGGGCTGATAGACAAAATGTTCACCTTCGTTCATTCAACCATGGTCATTTCTAAATTTGGTTAAGGGGACCATGTGTATTCCTCTACTTTTGCAGCAACTCTTTCTGAGTTACATGGCATTTATTATAGGGGATTGCATTTGTTTTTAGGGACTTTTTGATTATCCTTGCCCAAAAGCCTGTATTTTCTATCATCCCCCTCATTGTGGGAATATTTGGAAGTCTTTACTTGTTTGTTTGATGTGGCTTTCATGATTTTGTGACCTATAGAAATCAGATAAATGTTAATAAAGCTAAAAATTTACATCCCTTTAATTTAATTGCTGGGACCCTTAAACAACTTTCTTTTCTTTCTGTTTTATATTTCTTCTTTCCACTATAGAGAGTTCCTGTGCCCCAAGTCTGCCTTTCAACTCTTCAATTCCTGAGGCTTCACTTCTTTGCTTTAGATTAGTGTTTATGCTTCCTTCAACATTTCTAGTCACAGTTAATTGGTATAGCTGTTAGTCATGTAATTCATTTTCATAACAGAATTGTATGCATTTCTTGCTGCTGTTATTCACATTGCTGCCTTGCGTGTTTCGTGATTTGTTGTAGTCTCAGACACGTTGTGTTGGTGGCAGTTCAGACCCATGATCTTTTGCATCTGTCACAGACTGTGCCACAGTGAACCTTTAGGATTATCTATAGTTTCTTCTGTTCAGTACTATTCATTTTTGCAGCCCGTTGCAGCTATTTGATTATTTTTCTGGTGCTAATTCACCTCTTGCAAGATCTCTGGTGATGTCAGTGGTCTGCATTAGTGACAGAGATGTTTCTAATAAAACCACACTTGGGCTTTTGACAGTTACCTCTTTATCACTGCCAATTGTGGGGAAACTGTGTATATTCAGCTGTCTATGTATTCATCATGCTAGACTTGGGAAAGGCCTCCTCATGGATTGGCACCCAGTGACACCCTGTAAGAATTATCGAGTCATAATGTCAGTTCATTATCTAATAATTTTCTATTTATCAGTTTTAGTAACTCATATTTTAACCTTACTGGAATGCCTTGTCATGCTTACAGTGCCTGACCTTTCTAAATAATCCACATACAGAGCAAATTTAAATGGGCCTTCCCAGTGCCCCTTACTCAGAATTGCATTTTTCAAGTCAAAACTCATTATATTCTGTTTTTGGTAACAGGGACCATCTTCAAGAGGACGTCAGAGCCCTTCCACAGTGTCTGGATTGTCACGTGCAGAATCAGTGTCAAGTTTAGAATTTAGGACATCTAGCATGGTGGGCACCTCACGTGGTCCATCCCCTCTCACCATAGGATTGTCTGATACTATACCTCTTGCTGTAGCATTTCAAGAACTGTGTCATGCCTACTTTAGAGGAACAGATGAATCTAAGTAAGTATTACTAATCTGCAAGTTCTCTTACCTTCATGTTTAATTAATGTGCATCCCATAATTAATTCCTAGCCATTCTTGTTAATTTGTTGACAGACTGTGCAATTATTGAATATGTTAAGTTTTGTAAGTTTGAAATATTCTCGTTAAATTCTTCTGAGCTATCTTGTGCAGCTTTAATTATACTGTTACACGTGTGTTTGTGAAGGAAGACTTCAACAAATCCACACAACTAAAACAGTGACAACTGTTTTTTCAGTAATGAACACTATTAATTAACCCTTTCAGGGTCAAGACCCCCGATCCTCAACTCACTCTCAAGGTCGAAAAAATTTTAAAAAGAAAATTATTTTTCATTTGAAATGATAGAGAATCTCTTTCTGATGGTAATGACACCAAAAGTACGAAATTTGATGGAATTTAGTGATATTGGTGATACTTACGCATCAGTGATTTCGCCCACTTTGAGCCCTATTTTTGACCAATTCCATTATTCCAGTCGACTAAAATCGTAGTTATTTCACTAGAACTCTATTTGGTCAATCGAATGAGTACAAGAAACCGCCCATTTACTGATTTCAACTACCCAATAAAGTGGTCAAAAATTGGCAATTTGGTCAATTTCACACAAATTTCAAAAGAAGCCAATTTCAAAATAGGGTTCAGAATAAACAAGACAAGACATTCCTGGCACTAAAATAACATTTTCTCTGTTCATTAGTCATGTCCCCAGGCCCCTCTTATATTACTCATGCTTTCCATTTTGAATTTTTATTCTCACAAAAAATAGAAGATTTACTGTTATGCAGACTACTGCATTATTGTAAAATTGTTAAAAATAATATCAGCACACTTGTGAAAGAATATTAGACTCATCAGTTGATGTGTATTGGATGGCTGGCATGATTTGTTTACTCTTGAACATTGGCAAAAATTGAACATTTCCACTACTTTGAGCTCAATTTCAAGGTACTTATCATTGTGAAACTAATAAAAATAATCTCTATTTCTGTAATATATCTTCTATTCTATCAACTGAGACCATGAAAATGAGAATACAACCATAAATACCATATGAAAATACACTGCAAAATTGTTGATTTAAACCAAAAACACGGCCGGAGTTTTTTTCTTCATTATGCACTGCGTGCTGCAGGATTTTTTTTATACTGCACACACTGACCACGCAGACCCATTCTTTCATATGTAGGCCCACCAGGTTTCTTCCACCAGATTTGAAGGCGCTAGAATTTTAGTGTATATGTACGGGACCAACACTGGCTCTCAAGCCGTACATATACGGGACCGACCCTGAAAGGGCTAATAGAACACTGCAGAGTAACATTTCAAGCTCAACTTATATTTCACAAAAGCCTGTCATGTGCATGTGAAACAGAAGCCTGTTTTGCATTCTGGCAGACTTACTGGCTTTTTGTTTTCTGTCTCATAAAGATAATAAGGTGACACATTAATAATCTTAAAGACTTCTACATACATTCAGTATGCACTTGGCTTCACTTTGCTGTATGTTTCTTTGCAATTAAGAGACCTGGCCTGAGACCAGAGGATGATGATCCCTCAAGTGATAATGGTTAATATACATCAGCAAGTGTCCAGTGTGGCTCAGACTTTCTTTTGTATTGATGGAAAAATATAGTTGGGAGGGTAGATTGTTTTATATATTAGAAAAGATAGTGATGCACCACAGTGTTATATGTAGATGAAGCTGCTTTGTTTCCTTTAAAGTTGTAGAGTTATTTAAGACAAATTAACTTACATATGACACCAAGCTGCTCACTGCCACTTGTCACTAAAGTTCATTACATTTTCCCACTAACAGTGACATGCAGTGCTGATCTGTAAGAGCTTTTGTAAAGTTATTCTATGTAGTGTAATATATCTTTTTCTCAAGTGCAGTTGAAAAAGTTCATCCAATACTTTTGATATACATTTGATGAGTTAAGAGTTTTTTTTATACCTTTGATGTGTTCAGTTTTCTTTTTACTCCCAGTGCCTTGTGCCAGGCTCAAAAATTGAACAGTTGAATAGAACATACTATGAAGGTCTTCTCATGTGCCATTCAGTTTTGTATACACTGTTTCAGTCACATTTACACAAAATTGCACTAGATAGAGAGCTCTATGAAAGAGCTTGCTCTATTGGAAAAATATGTAATAATGGCTGTTTGATGAGATTTAAATTATTCTTTTTACTATATTTGTATATAAATTTAAGGTTATACAGTATACAAGTTTCAGCTTAAGTCACTTTACTTAGAATAAGTAATTTTTACTGAACTGATTTGGTAACAGTTAATTAATGTGCTGAGTACAGTAGTGAGTTGACTAGCTTGTAGTTTAATATGCTGAGTGCAGTAGTGAGTTGACTAGCTTGTAGTTTAATATGCTGAGTGCAGTAGTGAGTTGACTAGCTTGTAGTTTAATATGCTGAGTGCAGTAGTGAGTTGACTAGCTTGTAATTTAATATGCTGAGTGCAGTAGTGAGTTGACTAGCTTGTAGTTTAATATGCTGAGTGCAGTAGTGAGTTGACTAGCTTGTAGTTTAATATGCTGAGTGCAGTAGTGAGTTGACTAGCTTGTAGTTTAATATGCTGAGTGCAGTAGTGAGTTTAATGCTCTGAGTTTAGTAATGAGTTGACTAGCTTGTAATTCAATATGGTGGGCACCGTAATGAGTCGAATAACTTGTAATTAATACGCTGGGTGCAATGGTGAGTTGACTAACATGTAGTTTAACTCTTTCACAGTTGGCAACCCCCAAATTGAAAGCTTCTGATGTTGACATTTTATTTTTTAAATAATTTTGTTGTAAAATATTAAGTGAATCTTTTTCGAAATGTAATGACACCAAAAGTGCAGGCACGATGTTAGAGGTTGGGAATCAATGTTACCCAGTTTGAGGCCTGTTTTACTGCAATTCCAGTATTCAAACTGGCGCAGTTCTGGGTTATTTCACCATTACTCCTTTCCTACTATCCATTGATCACAAGAAACTCCTCATTCATCTATCAGAACTATCCTATAAAGTATCCAGAAATCAGTAATTGGGCCAATTTTACAACATTTTCAACAAATTTTGGTTTAAAAAAAAAAAGTCTGAAACAAACACTGTCATTCCATCCAGTAAAGCAGTCTTCCCTCTGCTCATTGATCACGTACCAAGGCTTTGCCCTTCATTTTGAATTCATCACCTGGCATAAAAAAGTCAGGTAATAAACCAAAACCAAGAATTCTTGGCCATGGTTTGGGCTGGCCCAATAATTGTGGCAGATCTGGTAAAAACCCATAAAGCACACCAGTAGGGAGGGTAGGGAAGTCCTACACTCCTCAAGATAATCAACCATTTATGCCCATTTTGAGGCTTATTTTCAGGCCACATCCTCTCTGAAACTGACCAAAATCAATTTTCATCAAGAAACAACCAATAAAATCATGAATACCAAAGTAGAAAAGGCCCCAAAGTCATTATTTTAACCCAAACACAGGGTCAGAGTTAGTTGTTCCTGTCATGTAGTATGTGTTGCAAGATTTTTTTTTATACTGCACACTCCCACCTCATAGACCCACTCTCATGTCTAGGTCAGAATTTGCCGCTCACTGTATATTTGAAGGCAATATGATTTATACGTAGATCTATGTCTGTGACAGTGATCCCCCTGACACAGATCTGTGTGACACAGTGAAAGGGTTAATATGATGGATGCAGTAGTGTTTATCCTTTTATGTTGTTTTACAAGTATGTAGAAAGAGCAGAAACTCAAACTTTTATACTGAGCCTTAATTTTTCTTTGAATGAAGTATGCTAAGTTCAACAAGTCCCTGACATGTGATTACAGTGAAGGTCCAATAAAAGGAACTAATAGAGGGGAGGGGTATCTGATTTACTGAAAATTCTGTTGTATTGAACGTTTCAATTAAGCGGATGTAGCCTGCTTCGAAGGTCAACTACCAGACATGGACAGAGGCATAGTAAAATATAATTAGTCCATTGTATTGATGGATTACCAGACATACTAAGAATAAACTAGAGTACAAGATAGTATTACCTGTAAATGCACCTGAAAAGAGAATTGTTTAGAAGTACAGCACAGTGCAATTCAGAGTACTGTACAGTGATCTTGTGGTGACCCAGAATAACTTAGAATTCTGAGTCAGTGGAACTGTAAAGCTCAAGCAGTAACATTGTAGATGGTGTAGGAGACACAGGTAGATGGTGTGGAAGATGCAGAGGGTGTGGGAGATGCAGAGGGTGAGGGGAAGACACAGTGTGGGAAATGTAAAGGGTTGGCAGACAGACAAGTAGATGGTGTGGGAGACACAAGTAAATAGTGTGGGAGATGTAGAGGGTGTTGGAGACAGGTAGATGGTGTGGGAGATGTAGATGGTACTTAGGTTTTTCTGGTAATCAAGTCAGAGCATTGACTGAAACACTGAAGCCAACCATCACTTTCCCCAAGTTCTATTCCCATGTGACTTGAAAGAACGGGCATTTACAATAGCAGCACACTGTTAAGCAGGTTCCAGAATAAACAGTGCAGGCATTGCTGGCACTAAAATAACATTTCCTCTTTTTATTAGCTATATTTCCAGGCTTTAGAGATGAATTCCTTTTTTATTTTTTATTTATATAAAGAATTTTTATTCACACAAAAAAAATAGATTTAATGTTATGCAGTATTGTAATAATTGTATTAATAATATCAGTGCATTCATGAACACACATTAGACCCACCAGCTGGTGCATATTGGACATGTGACGTCATTAGTTTACTCTTGAACATCAGCAAAAATCGAACATTTCTGCTAATTTGAGCTCAATTTCAAGCTATTTTCAGTACTAAAACCAATCAAAATCATTTCTATTTCTGTAATATGGAGGAGGTGAACGTATTCAGATTTTTGGGAGTGGACGTGTCAGCGGATGGGTCTATGAAAGATGAGGTGAATCATAGAATTGATGAGGGAAAAAGAGTGAGTGGTG